TTTTTTGAGACAGGGTCTCCCTGTAGCCCCAGCTGGCCTGGAACTCACTATGTAGACCAGGCTGGCCTCGAACTTACAAAGATCCGCTTGCCTCTGCCTCCCAAATGCTGGGACTACAGGTATGCACCACCATGCCCTATTATTTTTATTTTTTTATTTGTATGAGTGTATTGCTTGCATGTGTGTAAGTGTATCCATGTTGTGCAATGCTCAGAGGTCAGAAGAAAGCATCAGATCCCCTGGAACTGGAGTAATAGATGGTTGTTAGCTATATAGGTGTTGGGAATTGAAACTGGGTCATCTGCAAGAACAGCGAGCACTGTTAACTGCTGAGCCACCTCTCCAGCCCCATAATTCTTTTTTTTTTTTTTGGTTTTAAAGATTTATACATATCATATGCTGAGCAAATCCTCCCTCACACCCCCATTCTACCTTTTCTTGCCCTGACTCCTCCCTTGGCTTCCTTTGTCCCTTTAGACAGTTTTACTCCTACTTTCAAGTTATATATATCTTTCTATACATATATATCTATATATGCATATATGTGTGATTTTATGTATCTATGTAAAGTAGATAGGAATCTCAAATTAGAGAATACATATATTAACTTTTTTGTGTTTGGCTTAATTTGCTCAGTTGCATTAATTTTCCTGCAAATGACAGAACTTTATTCTTTATGATAGCAAAAAATTTCCACTTTGTATAAATACCACATTTTTCCTTACCACATCAGTTCCTTTGTTGTTGGAAACCTAGGTTGGTTTAATACTTTAACTACTGTGCAGTGCTGCAACAGACACTAATGTGCAGGCATTTGTTAGGTGTGATATGCTAGCTTAGGGTCCTTTGCTCAGTGTTTTGGTGCAGAGGCAGGAGACACAGTTCCCCATGATCACCCTCAGCAGCCCAAGGAGTTCCCCTAGATTTTCAGAGATCTCCACTCAGGTCAAACTGGAATTCATGGTTCCAACACAGAAAAGAATCTCAGCACCAAACAGTTTATGAAACAGACTCAAGGTTTAATTTTAATGTAAGTTCAGTAAACATAAAGGTAAAAAGAGAGGGTGGTGTTCAGAAAGAAAGATACGACACCCCTTTGAGCATAGGTGTGGGCTTCCCTTAGAGAGAACCACAGAAAAGACATACGAAGGTGTGGGTGTGTGTGCCTCACAAGAGAGTCAACGCTCACTGTCTTTACAGTCATCATATGTAGGATTTGGATGGGGTTTGACGTTGCTATCTTCAAAGGGTTGCTAAGAAACCTAAATAAGATCACCAGGTGGTTCCTGAGGGACACCTGACAGGATCACAATTGATAAGATAAAAGAATGGCTCCTAGAGTTATAGGAAGTTAAGATATCTTTATCTTACAGTTAACTATTTTGTTTGAGATTCTCAGGTGGTGGTCTAGGGCAAGGCGACTCAAGTTCATATGAATTCAGTAGCCTGACAGCAAATGTGTTTATTGTGTTGGCATTCTTACCTCTCATCTGGTGAGGAAACTCAGTCAGACTCCGTAGTTAGAAATTCCTCCCCCTTCTCATGTTTCCATAATTTCCCTATCTTTCTATCCAACCTCAATCTGCATAAACACCCAGGACTGGTACTGTTGGGTCCTATGGAAGATTTATTGTTAGTTTTATGGAAAACTTCGGTAGTGATTAACATTGTTGTAATAGTTTACATTTCTGCCAGCAGCACATAAGGGTCTCTTTTGTTCACATCCTGTCCAGCATTTGTTGTTAATTGGTTTTCTTAATGTCTTCCATTCTGACTGGGGTAAGATAGACTATCATGATGTTTTATTTCAATTTCTCTGATTGTTAATGAAGTTCACTACTACCTTCTTGTATATTTATTGGCCATTTGTATTTCCTCTTTTGAGAACTGTATGTACATTTCATTAGCTCATTTATTAATTGGTTTTATTTCTTGCTGTTTAGTGTTTTCAGTTCACTGTGTATCTTAGATAGTAATCCATTGTCAAATGGTTAGCTTGTAAAGATTTTTCTCCCATAAACTGTGTTATCATTTGACTGCACCTTTTGCTGTACAAAAGCATTTTAATTTCATGAGGGCCACTCGATAAGAATGGATTTCTTTTTTTTTTCTTTTCTTCTTCTTCTTTTTTTTTTTTTTTTTTACAAAAACCTTACTGAGAATTTCACACATGCATATAAGGTGTTTTGATCAAATCCATGCTCACTCTCTCCCTTCTAACACCTCTCATATCTCCCCATCACTTTTTTCTTTTTCTTATTTCTTCTTTCATTTATTTATTTTTATGGGGCTTTTGAGTACTCTAACATTTCTCCCTCTGAAGAAGTAATCCTAAAATCTTTTAAGGTACAAGCTCCCAAATACTTTTGATATTTTTGGCCTTTGGAACAGAGTATGTTGCCAATAGT